TGGCGACTCTGGGCTATAACAAGCCTCCTACGGATAAGCTCAACTTTCTCCGTCGTCTTCCTAACCAACTTCAAACCCAACAAAGGTGCATCACCCACCTCGGCCCAACACACTGGAGACCTACACGGTCGGCCATACAAGGCCTCAAACGGTGCCATACCGATGCTAGATTGAAAACTGTTGTTGTAGGCAAACTCCACCAAGGGCAAGTGCCTCTCCCACGTCCCACTAAAGTCATAGACACAACCTCGAAGCATATCCTCAAGGATCTGAATAGTACGCTCGGACTGCCCGTCAGTCTGAGGGTGATAAGCTGTACTAAAGGTTAACCTAGTGCCCAAGGCACTCTGCAAACTCTGCCACAACCTAGCAGTAAAATGAGGATCTCTATCTGAGACGATCGTCACTGGGACCCCGTGCAATCTCACTATGTCCCGAATATACAAGTCGGTGAGATGATCTACTGAATCTCTCACACGCATAGGAATGAAGTGCGCCGACTTCGTCTATCGGTCTACAACCACCCAAATGGCATCATTATCTCGCTGAGTCCTCGAAAAACCTACAATGAAGTCCATAGTGACATGCTCCCACTTCCACTCGGCAATAGGCAAGGGTTGCAATAAACCCACTGGCCTCTGATGCTCGGCCTTCACTTGTTGACAAGTAAGGCACCTTGATACGAACACAGCCACATCTCTCTTCATACCCTGAACGATGTCAATTTCTCATTTAGTCATAAATGATTTTGGCGAACCGTTTTCACTGTATGACTTGTTATACGGTAAGGAACATACCTCTTTGAAACCACTCCAAAAGATATGTAAATCTTATCTAAATTTGAGCTCAAAATTAATCCAAACTAAACTTATAAAAATCAAAAATTCCAACATAGTTATCGTCAATTTACCCTCCATATTCTAGATTCTGGCACATTAAATTTTTGATCCACTTTGTTAATGGTTGGTGCTACCTTTTGACTTTTGTTATGTGAGCTACGAAGTCATATCATCACCCATGGGCCATGGTTCACAATTGAGCTGAATAAATGCATGTTGACCCAATTGCTCACTCTAAAAAGTCAAGCCTTCACATGAAAATAAACAAAAAGAACTTCTTGTAATAATGTGTTTGTTACTATTCCAACAGCACAATTGCTTATTCACACTGAAAAAATAATAATAACAAAATTTAAATTTTTTTTTTTTTTTTGGTATTATTATGGGCATGTGTTGGTTTTTATTATTTATTTATTTGTTGCAATCATAATTTATTGGGTATTTGTTTCCAAGATTTTGTGGAGATAGAGAGGTGAAGTTCTTTATGAGAATGTGTTGTCTTAGAGGTGGTTCATGGAATTTGACAAGAGTATATGCATTTTATTTATTTGTTTATTTTTTGATTGGCACTGGAGTGTCCGGATCAAAGCCCGACTAATCTCCAGGGTGCATAGGCCCTAAGCAAGGAGTTTTCTGCGAGTGCACCACAGTTAAGTTAAGGGATTTTCCTCAGTCTGATGGCCCCAAGGAATTATTAGCACCAAAGAGGTTCGATTTCAGAAACTTAGAGAGAGCACACCCCAAGACCCAAGGCGTTGCCACCAGGCCAGCCCCTTGGGGTTGGGAGTATATGTATTTTTATGACTCTATGGTTGTTTTTTTCTCTAGAGTGCTGTATAGGTAGAGAATTTGGATTTATTCCATGGGATATGTGCTCCCCGATATATAATTGAAGTGCGTACTTTGATCTGTTGTTCTCAATCATGAGTGGGTTTTGTTAACATGTTTGTAGAAAATATTAATTTTTTTTTTTTTACAACTTAATTTGGATAATCTAAGGGTGGTCCTTGGTGCAGCGCATGGTTGCTCGATTGTGACCTGACTGTCATGAATTTGAGACACAAACACAGCACTATCACCATGAGGGACAAAATTGCGTACCCCTTTCCTAGATCTTGTAGTATTGGGAACCTCGTGCACGGGCCTGCCTTTAATTTGAATAAACGTTATCAAATTCTTTTGGATGCTTTTTATTTGAGTGAACATTGAGAATGTTTGTAGTTTGGAGGATAGTATTTGTTGGTGCCTGTGGTTTAGGTGTATGGGACACAATTCTTGTTTCATTTCTAGAGCTTATGGATTTAACAATTTATAACTTGAAACTATAGTACTGTGTGTGATTTCTGCTGATATAGGTGCTAGAATTTTTCTTTTAGACCCATGATTTCCTGTTAATAAGTTATTGGGTAACAGTTCGCTGATTGACCTGTACTAGTGCATATTCTAGTTTTCCATCCTTCATTATAATTTTCGGCTTCAATTCCCATTTCTTTTTCAATGTGGTGACTTCTTCCTGGATTGTTATATTTTTCATAGTACTCTCTCTCTCTCTCAGCCTTTGCTCTTCATGAGATAGCTTTAATTCAAACAACGATGGCAGATTATTAATTCAGATGATTATCGACTTTCTGGGGCAATGGAAAATTAATGAGCATGCTCCTTGCAATTTAATTTGTTCTTATAATCTTTTGGAAGTCAGTCACTCTCTCAATCTCTCTTTAGCTGCTTTTGTTTGTTAGTATGAAAATTGTGTGATCATATGGATGGGGATGGGGATGGTATCTCTTTGTTTATCTTTAAAGTTATCGACTTCAAATCATGGTTGATCCATTTATTGTAGTGGTTTTTGTGATGTGAATAATTTGAACTTCAAAGTTGTGAGATTTAATCTTATCCATAGTAATCTTATCCATAGAAAAATACTTCTCCAAAAAAGAAAAAAAATCTTATCCATCAAGAAATGGAGTAATATCAACTTAACTCAAACCTAGGAGGGTAGATAGGGTTCTCAAATCACTGGACTACCATACTATACTATATATAAGAAGCTTTGTTATAAGAATCTTACGATTCGCGATTCGATTCGCAAATTTTGCAAAATCGATACGAATCTATGGGTGAATATATTTTGGAAGTAAATCTCTAGTGAATCGCACAATTCACAATGGATTCACGATTTGATTTTTATGATTCGTGCAATTCTTGAAACTATCGTGGCCGACATATTTTCGACTATTTTTTTCTCCATTTTTTCAATAAAAATGACATAATACAACTTCTAATAGCGTTTAGTGTCAAAATAACCAATATATATGTACATGATTTTTTGTTATTTTAGTGATTATGATCATGGAGTTTTTAATAAGATCCAATCAGATTCGGTCAAACCCAACATGTTTTTCTTCTCATTTTTTCCCTTTAAAAGAAATCATTATATATATTGTAAAAATGTTTAAGATTAAAGTAATTTACACCATGAATTATATATTGTTATTTTATTAAATTAAATATAGTTAAATATTACATGGGTGAGGTTAGTTATACATTTTAAACTATTTTAGGCTTTAAAATAAAAGATCCTAAATAATTTTTTCTTATTATTTGGTCATTGTTACTTAAAAAAGTATGTATGCTTATTGTCTAAATATCAATATCATTGTTAAATTATTTTTACTTTGGAAATTGAAAGTTATCTTTGTTTTATTAAGAATGGTTGATAAGAAATAT